GTGCTACACTGTGTATAGCAATTTATGCTCAAACATGCATGAATGAGTCAGAGCAAGGCTTTGGGCATGTTTTTTATGAGAGTATAACATTGTAACATGATATAAAACTCAAAAAAGTTGATTTTACATGATATTGCCCATTTAAATTTTTGCCAAGTTCCTTTTCATCTTAATTTATTTCTCTGTATTGAAAAGCTCTGCTGTTACTTTTTCTTCAGTTTCATCAATGGGAGTATAATGGGGATAAATGGTTGGCAATTTTCTTAACAGCCAAGTCTTAGACAGCTTGTTGGCATGATTAATTAAGAAAATTAGACAAACTTGAGTGTTCTGCCTACACAGGTGAAGAAAAATACCACTAGTGGGGGACAGTAATTCAGTGTGACCAATATGTTTTGTCAGTATTTACTGTTTTATTTTATGAACTGACAAAACAACAGAACTCGAGAACTTGAAACCTTTTACACCTTTTGTCTAAATGCTGTGGCGCAGAACAAAAAGCAAAGTCTCCTTCTGTGATTAAAGTCACGAGTATAGAGATGGTGGCAGCCGAGCAGAATGAGAAAATAGATCAAAAAGAGTGATTAGTAAGCACTGCTGATATGGCAACCAAGATGATGTCTTGTAAAAAAAAACCTCAAAAACTCTTCAGCCACAAACACAAAATGAATCCTAAACTCAGAGGAAAGCAATTATGTCAAACAGAAAAAGGAGCTGCACTAAAAGGGAAAATGAACACTGACATTTCTCTGCACAGATAAAAGCGTCTCCACACTCCGCAAGAACAATGAGTACTTCTGCTACTCTGGTTTGGGTCGTGGAAAACCTGCACAATTCTAACAGAGCGTTTATTCAGTCATTTTACTATGTCACTTAAAGGTTGAAGTCTACTATTCTTGCAGAGTCATTGTGCATCCAGGAGAATCGATCCAAGGCCACACAGAGAAGCTTTTACACCTACAGGCAGAGTGAATGTGGGAGAAAACCCACCGAGACAGCAGCTGAGGGATTATTTCTCTTTAAAAATCATAAATGCCACTTCTACTGCCATGGCCCCATCATTAATCATCTTTCGCTGCCTGTTTTGAGATGCTGAATGTCTCCAAAGTAGATAGAAAGATTAAGACTATTCCCACAGGATGACATTTTGAGGATGGCAAGAAATGATTTAAGGCTTTGCTTAGCCTCCACCAGAGTCTCGTTAAAGGCCCTAACGGATGTGTTCAGGTAAAAAAGCAGCATTTATTACTTCCTGCGACAGTTAAAGCAAGATACACGGAAATACTGTTTGTCCATTATAAACTGCTTCAGTCTTGTTGTGCATTAACTTCAACTGACAAAATTAGCTTTTACAACAGATTGAAACATTTAGTTTTACTTCCTGTAGATATTTACCATCTCCACCCAGTTTATCAGTCAGTTGGAAAATGGTTAATTGCTCAAACATTACTAATTTTTGGTTCAGGAGTGTCTATCTTTCCAGAAAGTATGCATCATGCTACATTAGGGTTGGGCGGTATTGAACCAAAAAACAAAACAAAACAAAAAAAACAACAAAAACAAACAAACCTTAATCACGATTTGCGGCATTTAGCCGATAACAAATAATATGACGATTAATCCACTGAAGCCTCTGAACTCTGACTAGTCTTGGTCACATGACCGATTTAAATTGCTCTGGCAAAACAACTTGATGAATCTGTTCCAATTTGTGTCAAACATACAGATTTGAAGCTATAGAGCAGTTTTTTAAACTGTGTTGATAGCCAATTAAAACCAGAGTTAGGATAAATAATCTTTTTTTTTAATGTTTGTCATATTTGAAGTGCGTTGCAGCAGGAGGCAGTAGACGTCAGATAGCTTCATGGCAAAACACCTCAGTCCACCCTCTGGTCTCACCCCTCACCCAGTCAAATTAACAGAAAAGCTCCAAACTCCTTTCTGACGGAGGGCTGAAATTATTTGAAAAACACCAAAAATTGTACAGGAAGAGGAAGAAAAAGACACAAAATTTAAATGAAGTTCCACAGCATTGGAGAGACAACAAGATCAGGACTGAGCAATGAGATTTGAGAGATTCATGATATTTAGCATGTTTAAATTAAGGCCATGTCAAACTAGACAACTTATGAAATATTTTTATGTCTAAATTGCTAATAAAAGTTATATAAGTGATCATTTTGTTTGAATTACTTTATGTGCATGCTGAAAAGAAGCTTCCTGTTCATTTTTTTCCAATTCCATCTTCAATATTGACATCTTTAAAGTGTTCATAAGTTGGCATAAGTTGTCTGGTGTGACAGGGCCTTTTGTTAGGGCAGTGGTTCTCAATCCTGGTCCTCAAGAAACATATATCCTGCATGTTTTAGTTGTTTCTCTGCTTTGCACAACTGGTTTAAATCAATAAGTGATTGGCAGGCTTCTGCAGAACTTAAAGACTTTCTGCAGAGCAGGGAAACAACTAAAACATGACAGATAGTGGTCCTTGACGACCAGGATGGAGAACCACTGGGTTAACGTGTAGTTTAGTGTGTTTAGTGTTAATTCAGAGTCTCTGAGTCAAAACAATGGGACAATATTTGAGCGTGGAGCTGCGGACAGATGGACTGAGCCACACAGAACCATTGCAGAGAGAGGAGGGAAGCTCAAAGGCAGAGATGGAGAAGGAAAAAAAACAGTCTGCAAAGGAGTAAGGACTTTGATGAGGAAGTAGGCGAACCATTCCAAAAGGCAGCATTAATTGTGTTAATCAACAAGTGCCAAATATGAACCGGCAAAAGATTTTCTGAAGATTAATTGCACACAATACAATTTTGACCAGCCACATTAGCTGTTATGTCATGTGTGGCCTGTCACATCAGGTCGAGGATTGGTTGTAGTGAGAAAATAGGTGTAGGTTATTGGTTAAAAAATTTGAGATACGTAATTGTATTGTGTCAAAATGTGATCAATAAATGCCTTATCTATGGGATCCTTATTTGAAATTTCTGAAACAAAGGATGTTTTGAATCACTTTCTTGAGCTATAACAACAACTGAGCAGGATTCTGTCCTGAAAAGCCTTCAATTTTCACAACTTTTGCTGTGTGTTATAGAGCTGCTTTCAGTACCACCTGGGAAATCCTAATATACTAATATTGTTTGAGGATTTTTTTCTTTGAAATGCCAAGAAATCCTCCTTTTTAGAATTTGCTAAAAATAAATTCAGATACCTTTTTCAGGGGTCTTCATCGTTAGCAGGCAAATTGGACCACATTTCTGGAAACTCTCACAACAAGATGATCTAGTTATCAAAATGTAGCTTAAAAAGTTAAGAATCTGAAAATGTGCTTAGTTTAGTTAGACCAAATGTGAAACTGATTTGGTGTGATGGTAACATCTAACAGTAGCTGCATTTCCATTGACCATGAAAATGCGCAAATTAGAATTTCGAAAATAAATTTGCTCAATGGAAACCCATCAATTTCAAAAACAATTATGTTTTTCGACAAAATGTTTTTGCGCTAGGACGAGGTGGTTTTTCGGCCATATCGAAATTGATGTAATTCACAAAACTGCAATGGAAACACTTTTTTTGCATCACGGGAGTCACGTGATCAAAAACCGGCAGTTTCTACTGGCGAAAAGACGAAAAAAAAGATAACAGGAAGTAAAAGTAGTAGTGAAATCACCGAAGTAGTAAAAGAAAATATTAAACTCACCGACTACATTTTCCCAAAAACGCAGCATACGTAGCTGCTCCCAAGTATAAGGGGCGTGTCATTCGAAAGCCTCGATAAGACGCCAATGTCTCCTCTGATGGCTGATGAGTGCTAGTGTCGTGGTAGCAATATGCTATGTGTTTGCGTCCATTGCCGCCATGTTTGCAATGAATCATCGCGAGAACAAACGTATTCACGATTGACTTTAATAGCATTTCTTACTTAATGGAAACACTGCAATTTCGAAACTGTGTTTTTCGACATTAACAGAATATCGACAAAGTTTTGCCCACATTTGCAATGGAAACGCAGCTTATGTCACTTAAAAAAATGCAGACTAAATACGAAGTGTTCAGGATCAAGTTTTTCAATGTGATCAATTAAATCTCTTTGTTCTTAGTTTTCAGATTCGTCCTTTTGCGTACTATTTAAGTGCAGTAAAGAGTACACAACACATGGACCCAAATATAAAAATTYCCTTTTAAAAGCAAGAAGCATTGGACTAAAGTAAAAACTAAAAAAGTCTTGATCACATGGAGAAAGAACTGGTTAAACGTATGGTGGAGCAATGAGATGCGTGTCATTGAGCTGTAAATCTGAGGTTCTCTCCATCCAAAATGCTTTGTGTCAACCTTGGTTGTGACAGAGTCAGCGACAAGCCATCCGTCACCTGCGTCGGCTTCGGCTTTAAATATTTCACCAGCCTTCRGAAAAAGTGCTGAAGTGGCTCAGAGTGAATTCTGCCGCTTGGCAATTAAAACGGCTGAGACGTCTCAGACATGGCGTTAGATGCAGAGATCGACTTCAACCCATAAGCTCTGACAATGCAAAGCAACAGAGTTTTAGCCAATCACAAAGTTTAAAAATGGAAAACATTTAAAACACTGACTAGAAGAAACGAGTAGAATAGTTTTTTTAAGAAATGATGAAATGAAATGTTGTTTTCTTCAGGAAGTCACCGACGTTGCTTTTTGAGGATAAACATTTCAATTCTACCTCTTTATTATATTCYACAAAAAATGTAGACATCAGCAAAATTCATTGTGATTACCACTTTCAGCAGAGGCTTTAGAAAAAAAAAGCTGAAATAAATATTTGCTTTACCTGTGACTGACAGCTCCGTTGTCCTCCGTACAACAAAATTCCCAAAAGGCAGCTCACAAGTGTAATTCCCAATGTCGTCTTCCCTCACTTCCTTAATGGACAGAATGTCTTTTCTTCTTTCGATGGTTTCTCTCCACTGCTTTGGCTTGCATTCCTTTTTATCAAAGTAAAAAAAAACATAAAACACTTGTTAGTACAGAGCAAATGCACTGAGGCAGTTGTAGAGTCGGATTTTAAATTTTAATATTTAAGATTTTTAAACAGCACTCAGCAACASAGCAAAACAAAAGGCCTAAGGCGCTGTGTCATTTTCAAGAAAATTGAATCAAAAACAGAAAGAATCTACAAGAAACGCAGGATATTCATGATTAAGTCATAAAAAACCTTATTCCYTTTAATGCCAGGGTACAGATGAACTAACATTGTGCATCACACACCACAACTGGAAATCACTCAGCTGTGTGAAAAGGAAGAACTCCTACAGTTTGAACTGTGTTAAATCTACTTTTATTTTAAATTTGTTCGTTTGTTTTGAGATGTAAGCATCTTATTTGGTAAGTTTTTCAATGATACGCAGAGTAAGAGGATTAAACTTCTTGTAGTTATGCAGAATTTCATGGTAAGTTCTGTTCATTTTAAAATGTACACTTTGTATTTTAGCATCTGTACTAAATATCTATGTTTTCACAGATACATTTACCCTCAGTGTTTCTGAATATGCATTGATCAAATGCCATGAACTTGAAAAGTTTTGAAAGGTGATATTTTTGTCTGTACAAYGATGTTTTAAAATAAACCGTAATCAAGGACATTAAATGTTTGCATGGCGTAGATGCTCAAAATAAATTTCATACATTCATGGAAAAAAAGCAACTGTTTTAATAAAATTAGATGTGTTAAAAATGTGATGGAGATATTTATAGTTTATCTGATATTGGCAGAAAAATACTTTTGTAAACTGATTAAGTTGAAATTTTTAAATTAATAAAATGTAAATTTCTAATTAGTGTTGAAAACTGAACCGCAGCAGRTGCAGCCACCTCTTATAGGACGTGTTTCAGGGGCTTTTAAATATTACATTTTGGGTGTTGTTTACAAAGAATTGTAAGACTTTAGGACAGGGCTATTCAATTAAATTTCTCCAGGAGCCACAGTTACTGCAGGTCAACAGCTGAGGGGCCGAATATCCAGCAATTAAAGTTATTATGTAAATAA